GTTGTCATCTGCTGATTCACGGTGAAGGTTCACAAGCAGCAGCAGAACAAACGTGAATGTTTGTTACAGTCTTCTGACTTTTCCTACAAATGAAAACAGGAAGTTAATCAGATAAACATCTCGGACGGTTGACGTGTTAGTGAGTTATTTATGTCCATGTTATAATTAATTAGCATCAGTGGAAACTTTAACTCTGATTAATTAAACTTTGAAACACGTTCATTAGATTCTCTTTAATGAGTCAAACTATTCAGCTTCTAACTTGGGCTTTAGATCTTTGTTTTTGGTCCTTCAGTCGTCTGTGGCCCCACACAGCTACACTGTGACCCCCTGCAGGGCCACCGACCCTACGTTGGTCCACACAAAAACCCAGACCTTAAATGACCGTTAACATGTCAGTGAGTTCAGCTTCATGACATTCTGTCTGCGTTCAGTCAGGAGCAACGACTAATCCTCATAAAACTCATGTTTCATCTAGAAATAATCACTTCAGTTGTTTTCAGCCAGAACGCTGCTTTTCTTTGTCCCATTTGACAACAAACTGAATGTTCTGGAGGTTTAGACCAACGCTGGGATGAATGTTTGGGTCTCAACCTGCTGGAAGCTAAATGACTGGAACAACAAGTGCAGCCTCAGTTGGTTCAGTCTAGAGATTATTGTCGAGGTTTTGGTCTCAAGCTGAACAATTATTCAGAAAGATAATCAGCAGATTTATTGATTACAGAAAATCAATGTTCGCTGCCACCGCAGTTGTGTCACTTTTAAAAATCCGTGTTTTATTCATCGTGTGTGATCGTTTTCTGCTGAGTCAGGAGCAACAGTTCATCGAGATTCATCAGTCGTTTCATCTTTTAAGCTTAAATGCTGCTTTTCTTCGTCTGATACATTAGAAACTGAATAGTTTTGAGGTTTGGACTAAAAAAAATAACAACCTGCTGAAAACGTGACGATGAGTCGAGAAAACGATTTAATAAAATAAGAGACAGTCGAGCTCCACTGCTTCAGGTCAGAGACGTTTCATCACGATGCAGAATCTGAAAACGTTTCTCATGACTTCGTAGAAATCACAGAACATTACATATAAAAGCATTAATCGGACTAAAGACCAACCAGCTCGTCAGAAACTAATAAATTATGTGACAACTAATTTAATCGCTGACTAATCGGCTCAGATCAGGTATAAGTTCTGTGATTGCAGCTTCTTCAGTGTGAATATGTTCTGGGTTCTTTCCTCTGTGACGGTGAACTGAAGACAGTTTTTATATTTTTCAGCCTTTCCAGACAAAACAACTCACTGATGAACTGAGGAAGCATCAGAACATGAGTACGAGCTCCTGGTATTTAGTGTTTCACATCTCAGGAGGAAACTGACGTCAGCTGTGCCTGATCTGGACGTTTAATTTAACAGGTGTGTGTTTTCTTGTAGCTTCCAGCTGGACGCCGGCTCGTGTTCTGGACGTTCAGCCTGCAGGACGCTAGCTGGAAAACTAACGTGACTGAGCGAGAACACGATGTTCCCGGAGCCCTGGAGGACAGAAACCCATTCAGAGGTCCACTCAGAAAGTCTGCCGCTGTGGAAAAGGAGACGTCCGACACAAAACGTGAAATGTTTTGAGAAACGCTGTCGTTCTACCAGCAGCACAGAGTAGATCAGATTATTGATTATAGCCGATCATATTGGCTCTGACATCACAGATAGCAACACGTCTGTGTGTCTCCAGACGTTCAGAGTTTCTCTGTCGGACAGAATAAAGTTCCTGCTTCCCTCCACAGCAGCTGAACAACGACCGTCTGTTACCGAGCTGCTGCTTATTTATTATCAGTATCGATCCTGTTTATGTCTATTTCATGTTTATGGTCATTTTTTGTGTCGTTTTAGTAATTTTGTGTCTTTTTAGCTTCATTTTGAATCATGTTGCTGTTATTTTGTGTTTCTGTCATCATTTTGTTGTTCTTTATATTAACTCTCCACTGTTCTGTGTCTCTTTAAAGTCATTTTGCATATTTTCTGTCTCTTTTTGGTCCCTTTGTGTCTCTTTAAAGATATTTTGTGTCACTTTGTTTTAATTTGTCATCTTCTTGTGGTCATTTTGTGTTTGTTTTTGGTCACTTTTTATTGTTTTGTGTCTCTCTGTGGTTGTTTCTGATCTGTTTGCAGTTGTTTTGTATATTTTTGGTCTCTTTCTGGTCATGTTGTGTCTCTTTGTGGTTATTTTATGTTTCTTTGTTTGTCTTTTTCACCTTTTTGTGGTCACTTTATATTTGTTTCTGGTCACGTTGTGTCTCTTTGTGACACTAACTCTCTGGACGTTCCAGTATTTTGCTATGATCTGCTGTATGCATGTGATTTATTGCAGAATTCTCCTTTAAATGCTCACGTTAGCGATGCTATCTGCTCCTCGGCACATCACTGCTGTAGCTTCTGTCTCTGAGGTTTGTTTCCACTGAATCCACCTCCTGGTTCTGGTCTCGTCTGCACACAGCGTCTGTCTGAGTTCTGAGTTAAAGCTCGTCCACAAAACGCTTCCATCATTAGTAAAGAAACAGAAAACGACAGAAATCAAACATGACGGATTGTTTTGACTTAAAACTGCTGCGAGACTCTGAAGACGAGGCGAGAGAAGCTCGTAAAGAGACGCTAACGGACAAATATCAACATAAACACATGAAACGAGACACAAACACCACAAAGAGACTCACAGCTCCCACCAGACCAAAGCTGTCGTGAATAAACTTTAGTTTGTCCTACTGACTGCATTACAGCAGCTCTGAGCTCCTGCTGCTGGTTGGTGATGTGAAGC